CATAGTCTTAAATTAGAGAGGCAAAGGTTTACCAATAATATCAGGAAGTATTACTTTACTGAGAGGGTAGTGGATGCATGGAATAGCCTTCTAGCTGAAGTGGTAGAGGTTTAAGCATGTGTGGGATAGGTATAAGTCTATCCTAACTATAAGATAAGGCCAGGGACTAATTTAAGTATTCGGAAAATTGGAGAGACTATATAGGCCGAATGGTTCTTATCTGCAGTCACATTCTATGTTTCTATGGTTCATTACAGCTGCTCTAGCCTTATATTTGAAATTCACTATCAATTCACTTTGAATTATCCATTAAGTAAATAGCCCAAAAGGTTTTTATAGGATTCCAAGCGAGGAGGTCATCTCAACCTCCACGCCCAAGGATCTTGACTTAGTTTAACCTTCATTCAATAAATGTTACACTTAAGCAATATCCTAAGTATGCATTTCATTAGCCATGTGACAATCACTAGATTTCCTACTGGGGAAATCATGGTAATATGTGTAAATATTCAATATATGCCTATGTATATTCATTGCTGTAATTACATATAGAATACAATATGAGGATAGATGTCATACACCAGCAACAATGTGACACAAAGGGCAAGGGAAAGCTCACAGCTTAATAGGGAGTTAAGATGAACTGGATACACGAGAAGAGCACATATTGGAAAGAAGACACAATATTGATGTACAGTACAAGATCACACACAATGGTATGAATGTTATTAAATAGACACAAATTGCATGAAGATATGGGGCAACTTGACTGAGGAATGGAACAAAGGCCAAATGAAGAACAAGGCTATAACATAGACAGACATAAACAAAAATAACAAAGGGAGTCACACTGGGTAACAGTGGCCTAAAATAAATGGCCTAAAAGAAATGGGCTAAACCTATCAGAAAACACAAGAAATTTCACACAGAGGACATGAGTACATTGGGGCGAGGGTATGCCAAAAAGAGATATCAAGGTTAAGTAAAGCCACACAGTGGAGAGACAGAACAAAATAAGGGCACATATTTTGGGGAAGGGAGGGATAAGGGATCAAACAAAGACTTAATATTTGGTGAAGAATAAAGTGAAGGAGGAAATATGAAGGTATGTTAAGGCAGAGATCTTAAAGGCTGTTGATGACCAACAATTCCCATAATTCTTTAAATGCAATAGATAGCCAGATAACCATGATAGCTGTAGCTTTGGAACATCTAGGATGGGGGTGGGGACAGAATTTGAGATACCTGTTTTAAGGTAATGTAAGTAATGAAGGAATCACATTTTATAGAGGAGAAGAAAAGGTTTTGGGGGTTTAATGAGGAAAAGAAAAAGCAATGATTTGCAAGTAGAGAAGAAAAGATGGAACTATGGATAAGAAGGTCATGAAAGCAGATAATGTGGGTATTATTTGTATTGAATATGAAAATAAAAGGGAAATAATCTTGGTCAGAGAGAGAGATGATATGTGAGGAAGAGAAAAAAGAAGGTAATGTAGAAGTGATGAATGGAAGGTGGGAAGAGGGAATGAAGGGGATATAATTGGTGAGGCACAGAGAGAAATAGGGACTTAGTTTAGAGATAGAGAAAGACATGTTCTTGTTGCAAGAACAGAAGGTAGGTTCTAGGTTAGAATATAAAATTTTATCCTTCTATACCAACATACTGACCTGTTTTAAATATTTTGCATCTGGAATGATTTCAGGTTCCTTACAAATACTTAGAAGTAGAGAAATGACCATATTTATTGCTATTTTTTGTAACATCTACTGATAAAAATTTAATTTATGTTCCATAGTTTGAAGCATTGAAGGATCAGGGTTACTGTATCTCTAATAACCTCCATTATATCTGTAAACTAAGAATAAACAATAAATAATAATGAAATCATTTGTTACGTGTCCATGAAAATCAATCTATACACATAATTACTATTTATATGCAGGCTTTACTTTTAAACTTTCAAATAATTATGTATTTAACTGGCAAATATGTTTACTTCTCATGGGACTTAACAAAAATGACTGTTCATAGAAAAGAGGACACACTTTATCTGGGATTTGAGGGAACTGATTTATTTAATGGAAACAAAAAAAGTTGTACTGTGTGTAAAGAACTGCATTTCGTCATATATTATATAAGACGAATGCTTCTAAAGACAGGTAAATCTTGAATATGTCTTTTGAACGCCTGAGCAATTTTCCTGATAGTATACGCCTTTTCAATCTTTAATTATAACATTTTAATTTAATGGGTTTTCTACATCAGTAAAAAAAAAGTGTGTATATTGTTTGTTATTATATTGAAAGACGTTGTTTCCAGTTAATTGAATTTAATGAGAAAGAAAGTCATAAGTAACATTTTCTGTAAACACTTTATCGATAATACGCCCAGACAAAGGAAACAATTAGAACAAGCAAGTTGTCCGACAAGCACCACAGACCTTTCCATTAAATTCTTCATTTACAACAACATTGTTGGAAGTTCGATTATAAAGTCATTTGGGAAGCAATGGCTGACTGTACGTATTAAGACACAAAAAGTCCTCCTGAATGCAACACAATTCTAATTTTAATATATTTGTTTACTGTTATTATGAAGACTGGTAGTTTTCCAATACTTTTGTTATACTTATTACAGTACAGTGTAGTTTTCCTTAATTTTTTTAAATAAAAAAAAATGGGCTATTTACTAAAAGATGAAATTGCAGTTGCCAGAATCATTTTGAATAGTTCAGGGATTTGGATGTCATCTGAACAGAGCAAAGCAAATAATAAATTGTGCTGGTTTGAAGAATTTCTTATTTGATCCAAATTAATCCTGAGCTGGGCTAACAAGGTCAGGAATTTTAGGAAACTTCAAAATAAATAAATAAATATGCCCGTACACATATGTATAAAAATATGCATACCTTGAGGTGTCCCCGAGACCCCCCTAAACTCTGGGTAAAATAATGGGTAAATAATGTCCTCCCTGCACTCTATCCAATGTAAGATTGGTGAAGGTCAGGCACAGGGCCTGACTGCTGACTGAGATGATTGCACAGTGTTGGAGCTCCTCAGGGAAAACTTTTTATTCAGCCTGAAACTGAACAGAATCCTGCCGACTGTCTGCCATCCATACACCAGCTGTTGGCGGACACAGCCAGAGCTTGTGTATGTTGGTATGCTTGTCTGTAGTGAGCTTGTGTTTGTCAGTGAGCTTCTAGTGTGCTTGTGTATATCAGTGAGCTTGTTGTAAGCTGGTGTATATCACTGAGCTTGTAGTGGGCTTGTGTGTTTTTCAGTGAGCTTGTAGTGTGCCTGTGTGTATCATTGAGCTTGTATTGTGCTTGTGTGTTTGTCAGTGAGCTTGTAGTATGCCTGTGTGTATCAGTGAGCTTGTATTGTGCTTGTGTGTTTGTCAGTGAGCTTGTAGTATGTTTGTGTGTATCGGTGAGATTATAGTGTGCTTGTATGTGTATCAGTGAGCTTGTAGTGTGCTTGTGTGTGTGTGTCAGTGAGCTTGTAGTAAGCTTGTATTTTTCAGTGAGCTTGTAGTGAGCTTTTGTGTGTCAGTGAGCTAGTAGTGTGTTTGTGTGTGCGTCAGTGAGCTAGTAGTGTGCTTGTCAGTGAACATATAGTGTGCTTGTGTATAGCAGTGAGCTTGTAGTGTGCTTGTGTGTATCAGTGAGCTTGCTTCTAATAAGCTTGTGTGTGTCGGTAAGTTTGACTGTTGTGAGCTTGTGTATGGGGCAGGGAGCTTGTGTGTGTTGGTGTGCTTGTCTGTAGTGAGCTTATGTGTGTCAGTGAGCTTGCCTGTAGTGTGGGTCAGAGAGCTTCTGTGTGTCAGTGAGCTTGTGTATGGATCAGGGAGCTTGTGTGTGTCAGCTTGCCTGTAGTAAGCTTGTGTGGGTCAGAGAGCTTCTGTGTGTCAGTGAGCTTGTGTGGGTTAGAGCACTTCTATGTTTGTCATTAGCGAGCTTGTGTGGTTCAGAGAGGTTGTGTGTGTCGTGAGCTTGTCTGTAGTTAGCTTGTGTTTGTCACTGAGTTTGTCTGCAGTGTGCTTGAGTGAATGTTTGTCAGTGAACTTGTGTGTAGCAGAAAGCTTGTCTGTAGTGAGCTTGTGCATGGGTCAGAGAGCATTTGTGTGTATCGGTGAGCTTGTCTGTAGTGAGTTTGTTTGTGTCAGTGAGCCTGTCCTTAGTGAACTTGTGTGTGTCAGTGTGCTTTTCTGTAGTAAGTATGTGTATATGTGTGGGTGTACACCATTGAACTAGTGTGATTTATTAATGTGGAACATCCTTTTAATATATATATTTGCTGAAATCGTACAATTGACACACTGATGCCAATATGATGATATCGGCATTGAGTATTTCCCTGCTTGAAGAATTGTCCCCAAGCTGAGCCAATCACAATGGACAGGGGGCGGCCTTGAGGGTGGGTGTTACAGCTCTGTAACACCCATGGATCATCTGGAGCGAGGGGCTGCAGGTAAGACAAAATTCTTCCAAAGCACATACATATAAAAAATACAAGCATACTATGTGACACAATGAATTAGAGGGATGGAATTATTTTTTTCCAGGGCTGCTTCCTGTTCCCAATCCGGCCTTGCATGTACAGGAATGCTAAGAATGTTCATACACAGTAAAGTAGGAAATGAATAAAGTAATAGTAAAACGCTTGCTAATTGGTTATTAATTGCCGCAGTAACCCTTGCATATCTCTTTTGTGTATTAGCTGCATCATCGGTCATATGTAAACACTGTTGACCCCAGAGGGGGCTCTCGGATCTTTGTGAAGACATTTGCTAATGACACAGGAAGCCAGCTTCAAAAATAAATGGTTGTTTGCTTCCTGATAACCTGGGTCCAGTCTCTTATGTGCTTCTTGGCCTTGCATTCCTGCAACAAAACCTTTACCTAATCAAATATATCCAAAAACAACTTCTAAAAATAGCAAATCAGCTGCTAAGAGCTGACTATTGTCTACTAGTGGAAAAGCAATATTTAGTTAGAACTAAATTCAGTTTCACTTTTCACATCATATAAATAATGTTTCTTGCTTTTTATTTTCACACCGGGGCATAAGAAAAATTCCTCTAACAATTAAGCCAGCTATGGACAATCTTCACCAGGACCCCTGAACATGCAGATATAAAATCGGTAATGTATATTTATTATTCACATTTCAAACTGATCAGTTAAACAGGCCTTTTATCTGAACACTGCATTTTATAGTGACAGACTATAAATATCTGTGTACAATCTGCACATGATTTGTAAATCATGCAAAGCAAAATCTGTGCGTTGAGTATCTAATGACTTGGATTTGCCATGGTCCCACGAGGTCAATATTATCCTGATTTATAAGGCAGCTTTTGGTGTATGTTTTTTTTTTTTTTACAATTCCAGCACCGTGTCTCTGCTCTCATTATCTGCACGGTGTCCTAGTGAGTTCTGGTGGGAGTTTTATGACTGCATTAAATAAATTGGACTTGCCCAGATTTTCTCGAAGAATAATGTCCTGTTGGTCAAGCACAACCTATTACCTGTAACCAACCTGAGTCAATATATATTCTATCTCTCCTAGTTCATCTGTTTACCTTTAGCCATTATCCTTTTCTTTATATATATATCTGTCTTTTGTTACATACGTGATTGTGCACTTATTGCCTGAACGGACATATTATCTGCCTAACAGAATGATCTTTTACTGAAAACCCTAGAGAAAAGGAACAGGAAATCTTACAGGCAAAGACAAAAAGATGACAATTTAAAGAATAGAGAAGGTGGTTTAAAGCAACACTATAGTCAGAAACTCAGCAAAAACAACCTTAACTTAAAGAAGCAGTTTTGGTGTGTAGCTTATGCCCCTGCAGTCTCACTGCTCAATTCTCTGCAATTTTGGCATTAGCTTATTTATTCGTTTCTGTCAAGGCAGCCCTAGCAACACCTCCCCTGGCAGTGACTGACACAATCTGCATGAAAACAAAATGGTTTTACTTTCAATCAGATGATACTTTACAGAAGAAGTTTTTATCTCCTGTGATTTGAACTTCAATCACATACAGCAAGGTCTGTTTGTTAAGTTATTAACAGTGCAATAGATAAAATCAATTCTAAAATAAACAGAATGTGCAATTAAGCTAAAGTTGGTTTGGTGACTACAACGTCCCTTTAATAGTTGGTTCTAACCTTGTCCTTCGTCTGGTTTAATGGCTACAAGTAGTGATGTCCCGAACTGTTCGCCGAACTGTTTGCGAACGGTTCGCCACGGTTCGCCACAAACTCCAGTCAGCAGAAACATTCCAGCCAATCAGCAGCAGACACTCCCTCCCAGACCCTCCCACCTCCTGGACAGCATCAGTGAAACTTTTTTCCAGGCATTCTTAGTGAGCTATCCAGGAGGTGGGAGGGGCTGGGAGGGAGGGTCTGCTGCTGATTGGCTGGAATGTGTCTGCTGACTGGAGTCCGTGGCGAACCGCGGCGAACCGTTCAGCGAACAGTTCGGGACATCACTAGCTACAAGGCTTTGTGAGCGGAACTTGAATGAATAGAAGACAGAACAAATAGAAGACATATCACTTTTAGCATCCAATCGGAAACGCCAACACCTAGAGTCCTGGTTTGTGTCTCAAAGAACTGAACCTAGACATTTGTGTTTATGTTTGGAAGAATTTTTTATTTTTTTATCATAGAGGATGTTGTCATTGTTCTTTAATCACTGATGACTTGTGCCACTCTTTAATGAATATAATTGTCAGAATACCTGGGATCCTAAATGGTTCACCTGATCTGAATCCCTAGTTAGGAATTGGTATTTAATGATTAATTGAAGATTCCCTGTGCAGGGTCAGCCACAGCTCCCTCTTGTGTTTACTTGATTCCTGATCGCCTGATTGTATCAGCCTTTGCCAAATGTATCCAACCATTGGTTTATTGACTCGCTCATGTTTTATATGGGAATTTCCAATTGTAATTAATATTCCAATCATTCTCAGACATCCATATTATCCAGGCTATGGGACTAGTTAGCTGTTCATGTAAACATACTCATTACACAACTGGTTTATGGGGACTTCTTTGTAAGATTTACCGTGATTCCATCGTATCCCTTTGTTCAGGGATTTCATCAATCATAGCTGCATATTCTTAATATAATATAAATATAGTGACTGTTTTCAACCTGGCTGTTCTACACAGCTCTCCCTGTTTCCAAATGGACTGTGGTGGTCAATGTCTGTAGGTCTGTAACTGCTTAACATCTGTAGTACTTTTCTTGATAATTACCTTGAGATTAAAATTGACATGATTTTTATCCTCAATCCAGATCTTCAAGGTTACAGAACAAATTGTTCCTACTTTGTTTTCTTAATACCAAGAGACTATCTACATCAGGGTTAGGCAACCTTCGGCAATCATATAATCATACAAAATCCTGACTCCTTTAGAAAGAGAACAGTGGACCAAAAATCTACAGTCTGTCTTAAACAAAATTCACCTCTTAGCAGTTTGTTTTGATGGTTGTCTCATGTTATGATAACCATTATGACTTATTAAAATATAATGCCTTACTGTGTAAATGTATGGGCTTATGGGGTGTGGGAAGGACAGGGCTTCTGGTTGTCCAGTCTATATCTAGAAATATAAGCTGATTACAAACCACTGCACATAACATGTCAACTGGACCTTCTCACCGCACACACTGCACACACAGCACACACAGCACACACAGCACACACTGCAAACACTGCAAAAGCAGCACACACCGCACTCACTGCACACACAGCACACACAGCACACACTGCAAACACCGCAAGAGCAGCACACACCGCACACACCGCACACACAGCACACACTGCAAACACAGCAAGAGCAACACACACCGCATTCACTGCACACACAGCACACACAGCACACACAGCACACACTGCAAACACTGCAAGAGCAGCACACACCGCACACACCGCACACACAGCACACACTGCAAACACCGCAAGAGCAGCACACACTGCACACACCGCACACACAGCACACACTGCAAACACAGCAAGAGCAACACACACCGCATTCACTGCACACGCAGCACACACAGCACACACAGCACACACTGCAAACATTGCAAGAGCAGCACACACCGCACACACCGCACACACCGCACACACCGCAAGAGCAGCACACACCGCACACACTGCACACACCGCACACACCGCACACACCGCACACACCGCACACACAGCACACACAGCACACACAGCACACACAGCAAGAGCAACACACACCGCACACACTGCACACACAGCACACACCGCACACTGGAATTACTGTTTTGAATAGTTTGGACTAAAAAGTTATTTTCAATGTCTAGATTGTCATTTAGGACATTTATATAAACTAGCCTTAGTATATCTTTTGTAAAAGTGCACAAAATACATGGTAAAGAAGACATTGCAGTAGTTTTTGTTGTCCACTGCACACGGCATTTGTTTTATAACCTTGGTCTTAAAATAAATGACAGATTACACCCCTTTAAATCTGCACCGATTACAGATGTTTTCACATTAGATTTTTACATTTACTCATAGCATTAGTGTCTAAATACTTTATGTTTTCTTTTAGAAACTTATGTTTTACTCTTGGATGCATTTATTGTCATAAGTCTTGCAATGATTGGAGATGACTGGAGAACATACTACAATGCACTAAAAGGTGGAGGACAGATACATGGAATGATCTGGGGATAATGCGTCTCTTTGAATACGGTGAACATTGCACTTTGACATGGGGTCATTTTCTGGAACTGTGTTTCCTTGCTGTTCTGCTCGAGTGGGTTGTGCTTTGCAGTCTTTGCATTCGTTTTTTTTTTTTTTTTTATCTTCTGATAGAAGTCTGGGAACTGCATAAATTAAAAAAAAAATTGTTATTGTGTTCCTTACTTTTTCTTCTTTAAGAGAATAATTCTTTACAATTTAGAAACCTAACCCTGACATTACATGTAAAAAATAAAGGTTGGATTGTGACGTGCCTCTAAAGCTTTCTCAGCAGTTTCTATAATGTTCCACTGAGATTAATATGACCCCTGTTTTTCACAGGTATTTGGGTCTTAAAAATAAAATAATTACTATTTTCCTTGTTTAATGTTTCCTTAAAGAATATTGAGCACCGAGAAGTTTAGAAAAATGAGTCATGAATTTTTTTTAGTGCGATGGAGTTCGAGAGAGTTTCTCTGCGCACAGAACAAGATGTTTCTTCAGCTTATAACCAGATACATTGAGTAATGTGCAAATCTTCTTATGCAGAAATTGCAAACAGGATTATGTTGAATTATCATTTGTTTGTTTGCTATCTTTTCTGCATGTTCTTGCATATTATTACAGAGCTGTGAAAGTGACATTTCTAAAATATTATATTAATATAATGAATAATATATGCAGCAGAAAATATTTACACATTTTTAGATTAAAAGGAAATTCTGCCCCAAAGAGTTCAGTTATAATTGCATTTATAAAACTTGGGTATTGTTGGGTAGTGATACAAAACAAAAAAATGTGCAAATGCAAAGATACAGGCAACAAACAAACAAATGATATGGAGGTAGGCTAAGATCTGGGGATAAATAGCGTATGATTGATTTTATTTTGGGGTCGTAAACACTTGTCTTAATATATAAAAAAAAAAAAACCTTCCTCAAACTGTAAATATGAAAATACTAGTGTTTGATGTTAAATGTGTTTATTAATATTTTCTTCTGGAATCTCCATACCGCTAAGGAGTTTCAAAACATTTATTCCAACAATATATTATTATCACACGTCCGAAAATAAAAACCTATTTGTCTAAACCGAGTTTTGTTTATGTTTGGTTTTCCATTGCAAACAAAATTTGGAGAAACCAATTTCATTTTTAACTTCTTACTCACTGTAAGCAAGTGAGTGGTTAACAATAGAAGCTTCCTCTTCATTCCCCCAGCCCCCCAAGGGTTACATTAGGAAATAAACATCTATGTGGGTCAATATGACCCTTGTGTATTTATAAGGTAATATTACAACCTTCCTTATGTTTCTACTCACTATTGGTAAGGGCATATCAACCATGCATGTCTGCTTGCTTTCATAAAAGACTAGCAACTGGGCAGCTACTGTTGCCCTTTCAGTAATACAATTATGAGGGACCTGACGTAGACCTCCCTTCCCCAATGCGGGGTTACAACTAAATAGTAAAGCAGTATGATAGCAGTAAATAGTGGTCTCCCATGCACCCACCCATGGCCAGCCTGTGGGAGCTATTAAAGAAAGTGAATTGGGGAAACTAGTGTCCCTCTGCCAGCCCCCACCCATCAGCAGTGGATGTGATCTCTAATTATAATAACAAGGTGGAGACCTAATATCCCCCCTCATTCCTCACTCCTGAGTGGCAGTCAAAGTATAATAAGGGGGGGTCGTATGTCCTCCTCAGCCCCAACCATGAAGAAGTGAGTGGGGGCTCTAATTATAATAATCAGAGGACCCAATGTCCCTTCTCAACCCCTCCAATAAGCGGTAGGTGGGTGCTCTAATTATAAAAGGTGGGGATCTTATGTCCCCCTTAACCCTCACCCATGAGCAGGTGGGAGGGGGCTCTAATTGTAATAATGGGGACCTTTTGGTGCACTTTATCCATTCCTAGACTTAATAAAAATATAAGTGAGGGGGCCAATAAACTAAGTTTGTGTTAACAAAAAATGTATACTTGCATATTATAGTTTGTTCACCCTTGTATATTGTATTATTAGACCCATCTGTCCATATTGCAATTTGTTATTGCTATTTGGGTTTCAAATGAATGAAGGAATTGCATGAAATTCGGATGGATTTCCAAGTCATTGGCAGGGGGATTTACTAAATTGTGAATTGTCAGGATTTCAATATGTTCACCGAAAATATTTTAAATTTTTATCAAAAAGAGTAGAACTGGAAATAAATGTCTACATTTTCAGCAGGCTTGCACGTGGTCCGAAAATTCAGTTTGGCCAAAGCATTTTCCTGTAAATAGTAAATAGTACTGCAAAATATCGACATAATATAATGTTATATCTGAACGATTTCCAACCACTTGGTTCACAGATCAAGTGAGGAAATAGTGAAAAAAAAAATCTACATTTAAGCATTATATTTTTATTAAATATATAATATAGAAATATACTATTATTTTTTTAATGCTCCTCTTGATTTTCCTTAAATTGGGCCACTTTCCGCTTGTTCTAATAAAACCAACATTTAGCAACTGTCCCCTAAACATCAATCATCTTTTTTTCCCATGAATCATCTCTTTTTTGGCGATATATATACTCACAGTGAGCTGATATTTTCTGTCTAGCTGTATTCAATGTATAATAAAGGGATTATTGTCTTGTTCTGTCTCTGTAGTGTTATAAACATCTGTAGAGGGAAGGGGATGCTACTGGAGTAACTGGAAAGACTTGTAATAAGAAGAAGCTCAAGTGAAGGGATCTATTAAGTACAGAGACCATCTGTAAGCTAGTACTTTAGTGGTTGCACAAAAACGTCACATCAATGGCAAATCAAATCAATATTAGTTGCTCCAAGAGCATGACATCGGCAAATAAACAGAAACAGAAATAGAAACACTCACAATTCTAAAAGAACCATCCAGGATAAATATACAGTGAAACTTTTTTCAGGGTATTCATTTAAACACAAATACAACCCCACACTATTCTTCGAGAGCCCAAACATTTATTAAATAGACACCAGATGCTGGTTATAGTACAGTGAGGGAAAAAAGTATTTGATCCCCTGCGGATTTTGAACGTTTGTCCACTGACAAAGAAATGATAAGTCTATAATTTTAATGGTAGGTGTATTTTAACAGTAAGAGACAGAATAAAAAAAAAAAAAACAACAGAAAAACGCATGTCAAAAAAGTTATAAATTGATTAGCATGATCCCCTATCAATCAGCAAGATTTCTGGCTCTCAGATGTCTTTTATAGAGGTAACGAGCTGAGATCAGGAGCTCCTAATCTCAGTTTGTTACCTGTATCAAAGACACCTGTCCACAGAAGCAAAAAAATCAATCAATCAGATTCCAAACTCTCCACCATGGCCAAGACCAAGGAGCGGTACAAGGATGTCAGGGATAAGATTGTAGACCTACATAAGACTGGAATGGGCTACAAGACCATTGCCAAGCAGCTTGGTGAGAAGGTGACAACAGTTGGTGTGATTATTCGCAAATGGAAGAAACACAAAATAACTGTCAGTCTCCCTTGGTCTGATGATCATGAGAACGGCAAGGAATCAGCCCAGAAGTACACATGAGGATCTTGTTAATGATCTCAATGCAGCTGGGACCATAGAAACCAAGAAAACAATTGGTAACACACCATGCTGTGAAGACTAAAATCCTACAGCGCCCGTAAGATCCCCCTGCTCAAGAAAGCACATGTACGGGCCCTGAAGTTTGCCAATGAACATCTGAATGATTCAGAGGAGAGCTGGTTCAAAGTGTTGTGGTCAGATGAGACCAAAATCTAACTCTTTGGCATCAACTCAACTCGCCATGTTTGGAGAAGGAGGAATGCTGCCTATGACTCCAAGAACACCATCCCCACCATCAAACATGGAGGTGGAAACATTTTGCTTTGGGGGTGTTTTTCTACTAAGGGGACAGGACAACTGCACTGCATCAAAGGGATGATGGACGGGGCCATGTACCATCAAATCCTGGGTGAGAACTTTCTTTCCTCAGCCAGAGCATTGAAAATGGGTCGTGGATGGGTATTCCAGTATGACAATGACCCAAAACACACAGCCAAGGCAACAAAGTAGTGGCTCAAGAAAAAGCACATTAAGTTCCTGGAGTGGCCTAGCTAGTCTCCAGACCTTAATCCCATAGAAAATATGTGGAGGGAGCTGAAGGTTCGAGTTGTCAAATGCCAACCTTGAAACCATAATGACTTGGAGAGGATATGTAAAGAGCAGTGGGACAAAATCCCTCCTGAAATATGTGCAAACCTGGTGGCCAACTACAAGAAACATCTGACTTCTGTGATTGCCAACAAGGGTTTTGCCACCAAGTACTAAGTCGAAGGGGTCAAATATTTATTTCACTCATTCATATGTAAATCAATTTATAACTTTTTTGACATGCATGATTCTTATTTTTTGGTTATTCTGTCACTCACTGTTAAAATACACCTACCATTGAAATTGTAGACTGATCATTTCTTTGTCAGTGGGCAAACGTTCAAAATCAGCAGGGGATCAAATACTTTTCCCCCTAACTGTATTATTAACACTATAAGCTTACATGAGGTATTCAGTTTGAATTATATGTCTGTATTCAGAAAGTGCCAGTTAATAAACCTTGAGATCTTCATCTAAACTTGTTTGTGCTCAGGAATGAAGGAATGTGGCTGATAACCGAACATACTTGCAAAACAAACAAACAAAGTTAATGTGTTTTCCCAAAAGCCATAGTGTTGATTAATTGGGGGGCACGGCTTCATAGCACAGATACATTTACCATACAGAATAAGTTATAAGTACCTCATGTGAGAATGATAAGTGCTTGCCCAATGCTGTTTATAGACATAAAACAAATGGACCATCACTACTGTTTAATCATGTGGAGTCCCTACTGGGGTTACTACAAGGTATGTACCTGTCCAGGTTTACCTGTAGACCCTTCATTTTAGTTTCTCACAATCAGAAATAAAAACTGTCACTTCTCTAGAATTTATATTATTGAATAAAAACATCACTTTTGTTATCGGGATAAGTAAACATGATTATTGAAGGATTTATCTAAATTATAACCCAGTCCCCCAAAACAATACTGTCTTTTGAAACCTCGGCCACTTTAATTTAAGTAAGGTGATTCATGAAATATTTTGATAAAGAAATGAACAAGTCTTTTTAGAAGAAGAAAATGAAATTTGCAGGAAACTCAATTCAAATGACTCTGTTCCTCTGTATAGACATTGAAAGGAAATCATTCTCCCATGGACTCTACAGGAACAAAAAGCTGGAAACATTAATTTTTAATTTAGAAAATGGCAAAATGCCCCCAAATCATGTTGAAATATAATAGCAGTTTAG